CCCCACACACACACACACACACACACACACACACACACACACACACACACACACACACACACACACATGCACATGCACACACAAATTCGCACCCCCTTAAAATGTTTATACTTGCCTCCATTTCTTGGAGAAACTAACCCCCTAACTCCAACCCTCACCCCTGCTGGCTATGATCCACTTCTGCTCATGCACACACCATATTGAGAGACAAAAACTCAAGTTCTCTCACCTGGCTGCTCTGTGCAAGGTGGAGGAGGCTGCACTATTTTGAGAATGGGGACCGGGGGCTGGGCTTGGTTGGGGGTGGTGCTGGGAATTCTAGGGGGGGCTAGAGTGTAGTGGGCGGTGGCAGGACCAGGGGTACGTTGGGCCACCTGCTGCGTGGCCGTGTTTCGGACAGGGGTTGCGTTTGGGTGGGGGTGAGAGGAAGCCACACGAGGGGACGGGGCCACGGCCAGGGTGGGCACGGGGCCCCCCTCCTTGCCTGCTGCTTGACGTACGACGATCTTCACTACCCCGGGGCTGCTCACCACGCAGGAAGGTGGCACTAAGGAGAAATGATATAGAATATTTATCTGCAGCTGTTAACATATGAACAATTTAGGAAGATTATAACTTGTTTTTCATGAAAAGATATGACGTAACTCTTAGAACATTTTTTATTGTACTATTTCTTAAAAAAAAAAAAAAAAAAACAGCCCACTTTTAAACTCGTATGACATTAAAAGGGGAGGTCCATGATAAAAAATCTCCCCCTGCAAGGGTCACTGGTGCAAAAAGTTTGAGGACCCCTGCACTACACAGACGAAAAGAGACACCTTGAGAAGAAGCACTGGGGGTAAGTCGGTGGGCAGTGGGTGCAGGGCTCTGGACGGTCACCTGGGCGGCCTGGCTGATGAGATGATGGTGCCCCCCACTGGACAAAAGGTGCATCACATTGCCTGCAGGACACAAAGTTGGCCATTTCAGATTAGATTCTCAATTTGCAGATTAAGAACCAAAAGCGAGTTGCAGACAACTGTGAGAAAAAACTGACAGGGCATCCTCAATTTCTAATTGTACAGACATAAGATATAAAGAGGCAAGAACGAGCTTGCGTTCTGGCCTCAGAATAGGCGGTCGTGTGTTCGCGCCAAAGCACTCTACATTACTGCCATAGTTATTTTTTTTAATTGAATCAGTTAATATTTATGACCTTGATGTGTTTTTCTTACAAAAATTTACGGTAATTATGACTTTACAACTGCTAAAGATAAAAACACCAATTTAAAAAAAGCAACATACCTTGTATGGGACGTGGGGGAGGTGCCTGGTGTATGGGCGCTCCTGAGAGGGTCAGTTTGTTGCCCTGCAGCTGGAAGGTGACCGGTTTACTGCCCTGACACGACGACACCGGACGTCCCGCCAAGGAGGCGAGCTGCGCTATGCTCACCACCTCACCAGCTAGGCACAGACACAAGAAAATGACGACTGGTCAGAATTTTCTAAACATTTTACTGTACTGTGTATTTTCGTGGGATAATACTGAAGAAATAGGACTGACATTAACGGTTTGATTAAACATTTTGTTGTTTAAATATACATAGGTAATTCTCTTCCTTTATGCATCAGTTTTACAGTAATTTTCAGATGGGAGCGAGGAATAAACAGCTTGAAACAAGTGCACTCGTCCTTTGAGCTTTTCATAATGGCAAAATGAGCATGAGTAAAAGTGAAAGACTTACAAGGCAGCCTGGCTTGCATGTCTGGACTGAGGAGAACCCTTTGCGGCATGATGCTGCCGGGGTTGGGACTCGGGAGTCCGGGAATGCCAGTGGTGCACGGAGCAGGGGGAGGGCGCACCGTCAGCACCTGCTTGGGAATGCTGGATCTCACAGCCGTTTGAGCACCAGGAGGCAGAGGGGTGCGGGGAGGGGGCGTGGCAGTCACCGAACATATCACTGTAATGGGGGAAAAAAATGTGGATGCCATTTTTGTAGAACTTCTGTGTGAATGGTGAAAAGTTGACTTTCAAGTTTAATTTGTTCAGTGATTTACTTTTGAAAACTTTTTGGGTGGAAAATGTCAAACTTTGGAATGTGAAAAATAGCTCCCATGGTGGAATTGGAACATTTTGAAATTGAAATGGTTTGATTGTTTTGAGAAATGTGGAGGTTTGTAGGGACAAAAGGTGGGAAGAACAATGTGCTGTATGTACAAATAGCTGGCAAGAGATGCGATGTCATCACATGCATAACATCTACCTTGTTGAACAGCAGGAGCAGGTGGGGGCGCAGGTGGGGGCACAGGCAGGGGTGCAGGCATGGGTGCAGGTGTAGGTGTAGGCAAAGATGCAGGCGCCGCTGTGGCCTCTGGGCTCGGAGGTTTGGAGGTCTGAGCTGCAGGCGGCACCGAGCACGTGGGTTTGTTCATTGGCGCCACAGAGCTGCTGTCGCCTTTGGGAGGCGGGAGGAGCGTCCTGAAATATCAGACACTAAAATTGTAAGGAGCAGCATCGCTCAAAACGTTTTCAATTCAGGTTTTTCCCTGGCTCAAATTGATTATTTTGTCAATTTCTATGTGAGACCTTACAAATGAGCACATCTCATTGATAATATAAATAGAAACATGACTATGTACCTGTTGACCTTCATGCGGATCGTTCGGGGTCTAGGCAGGGGTTCGGGAGACTCAATGATCTCCTGAATGAGCTGGCGACTGACTTTGTGGTTTGGTATGAAGACATCCGCCTGATAACGAGTCACGCGGCCCTCCAAACCAATGAGGTTGAACATAGAAAGGTCACAGCGCTGCATGCGGATGAGAGAGAGGAAAAAAACTCAGCAACACAGCTGTAAAAATGTGTCACGATTGCTATGATGCCAACCTTCAGAGGAGACACCTCCAGGGCGTCCAGCACCAGGGAGGCGGTACAGAAAACTATAGGCTTGGTGATGAAAGGCGACTGGATGGGTCGAGGGTCGAACAGGTTGGGGTGGTTGCACACTTTCCGAAGCTGCATTAGAATGTTGATGACGGACATGAAGTGCCCGCTAGCAAGGGTCTCCTTGGTCCTGGGAACGAAGAGACGTTTGGAGGTGAGACGACGCAGAGACCGAAAGGTCGTAAAATGTACTTTACTCACGAGGCCTGTGCCATGAAGTCATCGTAGAGAAAACGCTGCCTCTTGGAGAGGCGACAGCGCACTACGTGCTCATACTTTTTTGGCATCTGCTTCTCCACATCGGCCTTGATCCTCCTGAGCAGGAAGGGCCTGAGAACCTTGTGGAGCCTTTTAACCAGGCCGTCGTTGTACTCCTGGCTGCCCTCGATCATGCCAGTCAACGGGTTGGAGAACCACTCCTTGAACTCGCGGTGCGACTGGAAGACGTGCGGCATCAGGAAGTGCATCAGAGACCACAGCTCCATCAGGCTGTTCTGCAGTGGAGTCCCTGTCAGCAGCAGGCGTCTGTGGCTGAAATTCAGAGGACAAAGCCAACATTTAGCATGACTGATTCGATTGTTCAGAAGAAACTGGAGGGTCATAAAATCATCACTGTGAAAATTAAGAAAATAAGTGCAGCGTAAAATACCTCTTGAATAAATATACAACAATTTATGACTGGCTTATAAATATGGTGGAAAAAAAAACATAAGCAGAAAAAAAACAAGCACTTCTACGTAAAATGTCAAACAGGTTATTCCCTACCTTGCCTCCAACTTCAGACACAATAATCAGTTTTATAAGTTGGGCTCTCAATTTGAGCCAGTGTGCCCCCCCTTGTCTCAACCCACCGTGAAATGGGAAGACACTACACGACGAATGCACAATTGGACTTTTAAGTTCTGAGATCTTGAGTCCTTATGCTTATTCAGACGGCTGTAGAGACCTGTTGAAGTTTAGCAGGCTCTGCCAGCGTTGGGACTTGAAATTTTTGATGTTCTGCGCCTCGTCGAGAATCAGGTAGCGCCATGACTTGCGTCGGAAAGCCTGGTGATCCTGCAGCACCAGCTTGTACGACGTGATGCAAACGTGGAAAGCGTTGGGCTTGGTCCAACCCTGTTGAGGAGAACAAAAGCGGTTCGTACAGTGGGTCTCAAATTCGGGACCGTGAGTCGTGGCGTCCACAAAATCATTTGCAATATAATTTAAAGAAGTCAGATAGGGACTGGCACACCAATAACATACAAACAGACTACTCCTCCCTACCTTCGCAGTAATTAAAAGCTCGGTGAAGAGATTCGTCATTCTATATGTGAACTAAGATGATGCAAATGTTATTACCTGTCTCTTAAGCTTTCTCTCCTTTTGGCTTCCAAAATAGGTGAGGATTTTAAAGCCGGGACACCAGCGCTTCAGCTCCATCTCCCAGTTTAACATGACACTGGTGGGGACGATGATGAGGTGAGGGCCCCAGTTACCTGCACGCAAGACATGAACCATCAGAAAATCTTCCGAACACACGTGTGCTCATCAATCCCCCCCCCCCCCCCCCCAAAAAACAAACAAACAAAAAAAAAAGGTGTGAGAGAACACATCAGCACTACTTTTTTCGCAAGCGAGGTGAGCCAGGAGTGCGATGGTCTGGATGGTCTTGCCCAGACCCATCTCGTCAGCCAGGATTCCGTTGAGCTTCTTCTCAAACATGGTGACTAACCAGTCTAGTCCAATGTGCTGGTACTCTCGTAGCGTGCCATGAAGGAGAAAGGGGATGGGCGTCTTCACCTTGACGACACAAGAAGGGCGATTTCAATGATTATTTTTTAACTTTCTGCACACTCACCGTGTACAGCACAGGTCAACAACTCTGGTCCTCACACCAGGACTAGTGTTGTTGGGAAAAAAAAACCTTGTGATACGGTATTTGTGATATGGCTGGTATATCAATTATGTTGTGACACAGTTTACTGGCGACTCAAATTTTTAAATTGCAGCAAAACTAACAGTCAGCCTAATGTACTAATTCACCTTGGTGGTGGCCAACGTATAGCCTTTGGGCTGCAAACTCTCCGCAGTGGCTGCAATGTGGCTGATCTCTTTCTTGGGCCGTGAGCCTGATGAAGACGGGCTTTGGTCTCCCTCCTTGAGCAAGACCTCCATCCCTTCATCTGCACCGTCGTCCTCTTCCTCGCTCTCATCTTTCTCACTGTTCTCCTCCTCCTCTTCACTTTCCCCTGGAGAGTCTGACAAGACACTCATTTATCATCAACGCGGCACAATGCTGTTGGTTGATTCTTGCGAAGAATCTTGTCAATTACCTGAGGGGGAAGTGTTGCTTTCTACATCACTCTCATCTTCACTGTCATCCTCTTCATCGCCGGACGCCTCCCATTCCGAGCTTACCTTGGAGCCGGAGGCAGAGGGCTCCTCTACATCAGAGGCGTACGCTCCTCTGTACTTCTCCAGGAGCTCCTCCATGCTCATGTCTCCTGTAGGTGCAAAAGGGGACGGCAGCCATGAAAAAGCAGACACTGGATGGCTAAATCAGTGGTTCTCAAACTGGAATCCCTGACCCCCAGGGTTCCACGAGCCATCACTTAGGGGCCCACAATAAATTAAATGACGAGTTTGTATCTACAAATTGGGACCAATAAAATAAAGATACTAATTAAACGCACCTTCTTTGGCCAAGTCATCCAGTTCTTCTGCATGATCCACATCTCCTTCCACCTTCTCCTGGGCAGCTATGGTGTCCTCTTCATCTTCAGCTGGTAACCATACAAAAAAGAACAATTTTAGTAACAGTCCATAAAGGTCAAACGTTACCATGTAAAACCGCTACAGAAGACTGATTTTTTTTCCCCTCTTAACTTGTCAAACTTTCCTCAATGTAGGACAGATAAAGAATGAGGTCAAAACTGAAAGTCATCTCACCATCCTCTTCATTGGCAGCAAACTCTCCATCTTCCTCCCCTTGTTCTGCCGATGAGGACGATTCATTGGAGCATTCTTCATCAGAGACCAAGTCCTGTGCATCCACATCATTTAGTGTTTTAGGACTAACTACACCACGAAGCCAATGTGATTTATTAATCCAAAGAAAGGTTGGCCTAAGGGCAGCCCATAGGCCATAAATGGCAATATTCCGTTATTTAATCCGTCCTAACTACATGATCAAGAAAAACTGCAAAGGTTTGCCTACTCCTGCACTGAAACGTCACAAAGACAGATTAACTCATTTTTGGGGTGGGGCGTTGACGAGTGTTACACCTGCGCCTGCTGCAGCGTGCTGAGCAGTTGGTCCAGAGGCAGCATGCTCTCCTCCTTCAGCAGCTCAATCTCCCGACGGTGGCTCTCAGCGTCGTTACCGTCCTGCTGCTCCTCCACCTCGATGGTCTCCTCATCGTCTTCCTCCTCACAAGGAGGCTCAAAGTCTCGGTCTGCATGAGGGGACACAACTTTTATTTTTGTTACAACAATGTTCCCTGGCTTTATCACGGTTCATCATCCAGACCCTGGCAAAAGAAGGACTTTTAAACAATTGCTTTTATGGATACTTAGAATAAATAGGAAAGTGCAAGTTTGTACGCCTTCAGTGTAGCATTATGTTGTGGCATGACTTGTGAGTAACAGAATGACAACATGCACAAAGGAATACTTTAAAATGTGTGGTTAAATAATTTCAAGTGAATGTTAATAAGTTTATATGTGTTTCAAGAATGTGGGAGATGTAAAGACTAAGAAAAAAAATTGGGAGTCTGGAACATATCTCAGTGATGAATGGGATTTCACTGTATTCAGAAATATTTTGAGGCCGCATTGAATGAAATTAGTGGAACTTAACCAGGTCAGACATTCAAGGTCAGTCTGAGCTCATGTAGTTGTCGTCAATCATGTGCGAGTCACGTGGGGCTGCCCTGGTGGCGCAGGAATGATGCGTGAGTAATAGCGCAGCGGCAGAGCACAGTGAAACAGGTTAGACGGGTCGTGATGGCCGAGGCCTTGTTCCTAGGCCTGTCGTGCCACTTTTGTCTGTGCGTTTAAAATGCATTACAAGAGCTCAGACGAGGGCGATGTGATAAACGGTACAGTTTACCCAACAGCCATCACAACTCTTACTCAAAGTATCCGAGATGTGCAGCTATGACAACGTCTCTGTGGGAGATCAGCTTCACAACGACAACAAAGACGTTTGAAGATTTTTACATAGTTTATAAGAGAGTCTCAAAATTTTGTCCGAGAAATTCAATTTCTAATTTCAATATATTTTGTCTCTTCCGCTTAGAAAGAGTAATTGACGTGAACAATTTCCAAAGAAACAGATTTATTAGCTCTCACCATCTTCATCCGCGGTGGTGGGCACAAACGTCTTGGAAGGTGATGGGATTGGTTCGGGCCGGCTGGCAGGCGCCAGAGACTTGCTGAGGAGGTCCGAGTATTTCTCCGTCTGTCCGACGATGAAGTCCAGCTGGAGGTCCAAAGCCTTCTTCCTCTTTTCCTCCAGTCGAGACTGCTGCTTATACTGCACCACCTGTATGGGACAAACAAGATGCAAATGCTCTTCACCCTTTTGATATTTTTGCACATCTTTTTTCTTCCATTTTTTAAATGTTTAAATCTTGTGAGAATACATTTCTAGGGAAACGTTGCATTTTTAAAAGCCACACTCTGCTGACAAAAAAAAAAAACGTACACAAAACATTTGTTAAATCATCATACATCAACATCTTTTCCTGGTTCCACAAGCAGTCCCGTCCAGATGAAGGCTGGCAAGGCTACAAATCTGAAACAAACTGCACATCTTGGTGTGGAAAAAAAACATTTTTGGAAGGGCATCTCTTACCTTCTCCACGCTGCTCCAAAAAGCACGAACTTCCTTGGCGATAGAGGACGCGACCCTCCTGATTTTTGCCTGCTCATCTCTCTTGGCCTTTTCCTCTTTTTGCCTCACTTCCTCGTGGTGTCGCATCACCATTCGCACCACCTTCCTGGCCACGCCCCTCTTCCAGCGTCTCTCCTGGGCAAAGTCAGCAGATAGCCACTGCATTTCCTCGCACAGGTAGTCCCAGTGCACTTTGAGCCGCGGCGGCTCAGTCAGGCGGTTGAGGCGCTTAGTGGACCAAAAACCCTCTCGCTTCAGCGCCTGGCTTCGGTGCTCTATGTCGGCCTCCTGCGGGACAACATCAAACTGAAAATTATCTTTTAAGTTTTGATTTAACTATTGTATAGAGTTGAATTGAACCTAACAAAGCGGCAAAAGAGCATACGGTAAATTGGTTTGGTCCACTCACGTGTTTGGCCAACTCAGCCATATCGGAGCGCCGCTCTCCACGGGGCCGCTGTGGGGTGGAATGATCGGGCGGAGACAACAAGGAAGTGTAGCCCCCGAATGAGGTGGGAGACACAAACTTGCCATGAGGTCCTCGCAGAGGCGACGACTTGTCACGGCGGGAGCCGACCCAGTCGCTGCCGGGTGAAGGTTCGAGGAAGGAGGACGAAGAGGTGGAGGGTGAGGACCCATCGCCTAGCCACTGCCAACACACAAAGGATGGATGAATGACAAGTTTGAAAAACATGTCTTCTCACTATTCCTTTGTGTATCTATTTTGTACTGTAATCTCCATTATCATGAAAGAAATGAATGCTAAAGACGTGCGTAGAGCAATCCAGCATCCTGCATGTGTGATGAGCTGCAGTGAAACATTCTTTAACCAGGGATTCACTCAAATAATTACACATGCATAAATAACACTGTTTCAAGATGATTCCGACTCTTCCTAAGGTAACACAATGTGTTTTACCTTATGTGAAGAATTTGGAGCGGTCATGTCTCCGTCCGGTCTCTCTGTGTCGTCGTCGCTGCCATCTTCTTCACTGCTGACTTGTCCGGAAGCGGCATCCAAGGCCTCCGCGTCCCCCGTAGGTTCATCATCATCATCGTCATCGTCATCCTCTTCGTCGTCCTCCTCCTCCTCCTCCTCGTCCTCCTCAAAGAGGGAGTCGTGCTCTGTCAGGTCCTTGGCGCTAGATGAGGAGGGCGTGACGGCACTTTCCTCACTAAAAGCGCAAGTCGTCGGGCTTGAAGTTCTGACATTTAGGGCCTCTGATTGGCTACACCGTGAACCCGCTGTGAACCGCTTGGCAACTGGCTTCGCCACGTGTGTTCCACCACTCTCAGATGGCATTGAAGAACCAACAACGACGGATTCGGGGGACACCGCGGTGCCCTGATTGTCTTCCGGTTTCGAGTCTACTGCCTTCTTGAAGAATGTAGTTGCCTGCTTCAGGAGAGATGCTGCTCCTGGTTGGATGAGCAACAGCTTTGGATTAATACTTCCTGCAGGGTGAGCAATAATAGCGCCCGGTTGGGCACCTGTGGAAACAGCGGCAGGCTGGGACGAACCCTCACATGGAGGTTCTTTCGTTCCTGCAGAAGAGGGAATGCCAGCCTCAAGTGTGGCATTGGAAACTTCCGCCCGCTCACTTTGAGCAGCATCTACCGGCAATACGAGCGAGGGAAAAGCAGCATGTCCATCCACTTCCTGTCTGTCCTTGCTCACCTGCTGACAAGGTGTCAAGACTTGCGTCTGAGTCTGCTCCATGGGGAACGAGTCCACTTCAAGCAAACACACCTGGTTGGAGCTGGTGTCGAGAAGCAGGTGTTGTCCCACTGCAGCTACAGAAATACCGTGGACATTGTTGGTGGAGCAAACTTGTGCTTGGTCTCCGTCGTGTTCCTGCTGGGATATAATGACTGTGTCACTGTCCGTAATAGTGTGGATTGAAGGTTCTAGGTGGGATTCCAGGTCCTCGGAGGGGTCCAACAAAGCATTGAACAGGTTGACCTCATATCCCGGAGAGTGAGGTATCTGCACACTGGTACTGACGCACACCGTCTCCTCAGCCACTTCCTCCACCAGGCCGCAGAACTGGTACACTTCCACGTTTTGCGCGTCTATACCTATGTCGCCCTGCACGCTCTCCTGGTACAGCTTGGCCTCAGCCGGCGTGTGCTCGGTGACAATGGCTGCTTCGCACACGCTGCCGTCGGCGCGTTGCAGGAGGTAACTCTGCTTCAGGTGCACGTTGGACCAGCCGCCCCCGAGGTGTGCCGCCTCGCTGACCACCACGATTTGCTGCGAGTCAGCAGAATGCACCAGTTCGGTAATCATGGGCGGTTCCGTTAAGGTTTGAGACGGTTCTGCCTCTGCCTGCAAAGATACAAGCAGGCCCGAGTCGAGCACCGAGCGGACAGCGGAGGACTTGGGGGAACAGTCACTCGGTTCATCAGTCACGCAGCCCGTCTGAGCGTTTGCTGTGCTGTTGAACAACGCTGGCGTATGTGAAGAACCTGAACCAAGTTCTCCTGTGTTTGGAGTCTCAAGTGTTTCAGCCGAGGGAGGGGTTGCATTGTTTGACGCATCCTCCATCTCATTAACGTGGACAACATCCTGCTGGACCTCTTTGAGGACCCGTGGCAGGTTAACTTGCTCACCAGAGTTCGAAGCAACAGGCGAAGGCGACGTCGATTCCTGACATGCTTTCGCTTGATCTGACTGTTCAGTAGGTCTGTTCTCCATGGTGCTTGAGAGGGATGAGGCCGTGATGCAGACCTGAGCTTGTGCGGCAACAGTTCCACTCGCGTGTTTTCCGTCAAATTCCAAGTTTGTTTTAGTCTCCGAGTTACACTCCAAATTTTCCTGCTGACCAGTGACAAGTCCAGCGTTGGCTTGGGGAGACTGAAGAGGAAGCGACTTGTTATTGGAGATGTTTGTCTCTTTAGTAACAGTATGCAAGCCAGTTTGCAACCCTCGAAACCCGCTGGTGATTTGCGGATGTGAGGCAAGGGGGGCACATGGTTTGAAGTCCTCAGTGTTGGACGAGTTGATGCCATCGACTTGGGCGACGGGCTCGCCACGTGAGATGCAGACGTTAGCAGCACCGGCAACGGTGAGCGGAGAAGCGGTCTCCATGACCGGGAATGGCGATTGGACGCTCTCTGGCAAAGGAGGAAGCGGGCGGGGGGCAGCGGCGGCCGGCTGCGAGACATGCCCAGGTGACTCCCCAGACACATTGTGTGCGGCCTGGGACTTGCCACCCAGCACATCCACAGCCGGAGAGGCTCGCTGCCGCACTGCCGCCTCCCCACAGCCTCCTTGCTCGCTGCTGCTGCGGCCACACGTCGAACCTGGAGATTAAAAAATATAATAATAACTATAATGATAATAATAACGTTTTTATCGTTTACATTCAAGACCCACTCACATTGATCAAAGTTTGTATGGCAATAGAGCGAATGCAAACACATTAATATAATGAAATAAACAATAGAAGTTTGTATTTTAAGGCAGACTGTTTTCATATTACATTACGATATGTAGATAATATTTGAACTTGGTACACAAACTTTTCACAACATTTTCAACTTATCTGTAACAGCTGAATATATAACAACTGCAAAGGTCACGACGAATCCTGAACACTTGGTATCACTGACGTCTGCAGGCTCAAACCTGAAATACTCCCAAATGACTGCCATGCTGTTTTTCTTGGAAATGAAATCCCCAACTTGACTTTTGTTTCCACTAAAGCCAAAACATGTTAATACTACAAAAGCATGAGGAGCAGGTTAAAACTTGGAGGTTAGTAAGTCCTCTCCGTTCCTCTTGCTCTTAATTACATTACACCTCGTCCAGTCGTCCTCAGTGCTACCTGGCATATTGCGACACACCTTGTTATTACACCTAAGATGTGTCAATGAAATTCAGACTTGCCTGTGTGTGTGTGTGTGTGTGTGTGTGCATGTGTGTGGGCGATGTGTGTGTGTGTGTGTGTGTGTGTGTGTGTGTGTGTGTGTGTATATATGTGTGTATAAATCTATATGGTGAGGACACAAATGAGAAACGTAGTAACGAGGGAACACTGAACAACATTCAATCACATTTATGTACAATACGATTTGACTGCAGGCAACTCCTCACCTGTCTGTGGAATGAGACTCGGATCCTCAGTGCTTTCTACTTCCAGGATGATGAAATTAGGGTCCCCTCCACATGTTCTTGGGAAGCAAACACAGAGACAGGGAACTTTATTCGTCCGGGATATTGGCCCCAAGCCTGTTGTACAGCGACATGAACATGATGTGAGAAGTTACAGAGGACAGCTTGGTAAAGTGTCATCCATCTCATCACAAAAGTCACGAGGTGCGAGATGAGTGACTAGCAGGCTAATTCGCCGCCGCTACTGCCCCAGTGTGCTGAGCTTGTGTGTATGGAGTGTGCATCCTGCAGTAGCAGTAAAAAAAAAAAAAAAGAGTGAACTTGTGTTTGCTGCATTCGCCCACAGGAAGAAGTCTGCAGCACGCGCCCTCATGCCACTAGCCGGCGAATGAGTGTTAGCCTCCGCTCATTCATTTCAGTCCCTTTTAAAAGATTCATCGACCACAAGTAGGATCTTTAATTACAAAGACATCTTCAATGGAATCTGCGTTTAGCCAATTCACATATATGCTCGGTGGCTACACGAGCACTGGCGGCTTACATAAAATGCATAGACACGTAGCGACTGTGGATAAAAACAACACAGTCAAAGAAAACACCGTTTCCCCGTCATAAAAGATGACTTAAATTTTGTGTTTTCGCAACGCCGGTTTGGCTAACGCGGTTAGCTGATGAGCTAGCTAGCGTCGTACAACAACAATACTAGGGTGGCACTAGGCAGCTAACTAGCAAGCTACCAGGAGTTAGTCGGTTGCGTTCGTGGGACGCGCAGGCGCCGCATTCCCACCCGCAGTTATGTAATGTTTTCCATTATTGCGTTTAAACGTGACAAGTTGCTTTGAAATGGGCCACCGCGACTGAAAATGGGCCATTAAAAGCCGCTTGTGCATGTACTACAAATAGGGGACAATCATTCGTGACGTCAGTACGCGAGGGGGGGTGTTTTAGAGAAAACCAAACCCGGTCATTTTTTCTTTTTATCACACGGGCCATTTACTTGTCCTTATAGTAAACGTGAAAATTAAAATAGTGTTTCAATTTAGTATACATTAAACAATTTTGTACGGGGCGGTTCGGGGGGGCTCGCTCTGGTCGACTGTTGGCTCTTTAGCAGCGACCACAATGATAGAACACTCAAACACTCGTTTAGTCCGATAATCAAATTTTGATTCCATTTCACATTTAAACCACGACCTAGCAGTTTAGTGTCTGGTCGTAGTTGTTTTTACATTCCGACAACCATTTACGGGTGCACAACGAAACAATGTGCAGTGTGATAATGCGGTGTCGTCAGTCAGAGCTCCCCCTGAGTCTCTCATGACTTCCTCTTTGGCCCCCTCCCTTCAAAGGCCGCCATCTTAAGTTCCCACCTACCTGAATTTTCCGAGCAGTTTTCTTTTACTAAATTCTCGCTGAAGGAGTCGTCATCCGTGTAAAATCGCACTCAATCCGTAATGCCGGCGGTCCAAACTGCCTCCCGGTACCCAACGAGGTAGCAGTCGACCTCGATGAAGAAGTTAAAATACGGACGGGGAGAGAGTGTCTTTCGGCTCAGAATGTAGCGGTCGCGGGGAGGAGACTTAGCGCAGCGAAATGGTGGAGCGGCGCTGCTCCTCGCAAAGTACACAACAGACGCAACTCTCGCGATACCGTAACCGGCGCGACCTTTGAAATGTCGACGACTTTGCAGTTCAATTACCGCTTTCAAATCTGAACTCGGCCACGACTTGCACGTATTTATCTAATGTTTAAGGTACACGCAGTATTTTAAAGAACAATTGTGTTTATATTGAATTCTATTGAGGGAGAAAATCATCTACGTTCCGGCCTAAAGTTGCTAAGGAAAATTTACATTCAAAAGATATAATTCTTTTAACCAAATCTCTTCACATAACTTGAACAATCGCTGTATATTTAAATATATAACATAAGAAAACCTTTATTAGTCTCGCAATGGAGAAATTCCCAATTCACAGCAGCAAAGATATGAAAGGAAGACGTAATATGCATGATACACAAGTTTTCAAGGCCTAAATGTACACGCATTTTAGTCTGCATGAAGTTTGGTATTTATTCTTTTCGTTTGACTAATAAAGGACTATTAAAGCCGACTAATTATGAGACCAGAACAAAAGACCCACACGAGAGAGTAAACAACAGTTCATTTAATAATTAATCTTTGTGGTCTCTAGGGGGAGGGATTGGAAAGGTATAAAATGGTCATATTAAAATAATCGACCCAGTCTTTCCCCTCATTATGTCCACTGTGGATGTCCTTTGTATGCCTTTTGAGTTCTTCCGCAGATGTCCCACTCATCCATGTATATAACTTATTTATTTTTTGTCAGCAACACAAACCGTTTCCAAATCTTACTGTACAAGGCTCTACAACATCGACCCAAATGGATAGAACACACAAAGCAAGGGCCCAGTCAAATCTCCCTGTGAGCGTAATAAAGGCATAGATGAGATCCTTGAAGAGTCCAAAGGCTTCGTCACCAGCATTTCAACCTTAGTGTGAAGCAAGCCTTTTGCAGATGTGTAGAGTTACTACCTGGCGGAAGAGAGAGTACTGGTGCATACCTGAAACAATGACAATAACATAACAGTGAATATATTTATTATTATTGAAGATAATGTTAAGAATAATAATTACAAAGGCATTTTGTCTAGACTACAATAATCTGGTCCTGTTTGTATAGTCCAGAGGAGAGTGGGGAAACAGAGGAAGCTCTAAAACGCTGTGTAAGTGAACACAGCGTTGCACAGTTCATTTCGCCATCCATCCTCAGAGAACAAAACAAGCCCAAAAACAAACCGAAATGGGATGAATCTCATGTTCCATGAGGGTGAGACTTTGGGTTTTTTTTTTAATTTTTGGGTAAAGCAAGAAACTGAGGTACAATACTGACTCATGGATTGGTCTCATCAGTATTCTGTCTTTTCACAATGACAAACGTGCACACAAACAAAACGTGCCACTTTAAACCTTTTCATGTCTACACGCCCTCCTCCTCAGCACCACGTTTTCTGGATTTTGAGACTTGACCTTATGAGAATCTGAATTCTAGACACATTTTCAGGTGCTCTGGAAGTCACTGCTGATCCACGCAGAAAAAAGGCCTGTTTAAAAGTCAACAGAAAGTGTGCCGCCAATGACGGCCCTGCAGTCAGCAACTGCCCACAGAAAATAAAACTCGTCAGATGCACCCGATGTAGCATGGAGAGCATTTAATTGACATCCCTGATATCAAGCGTCCATGTACTTACTGGTAGACTTTGTTCTAACTAGTAAGACATCCATCGTAGGATAGTGAATAAATACTCCAACGGCTTTACGGCCAGCTGTTAGAGCATTCATTTGAGATCCTTTTCAGGTCCATGTAGCTCTCTGTCTTTTAAATAGCAGAACAGCTACAGGACAACCAAAGGTTACCAATGAGGCAAAACCATGCAGTGAACTAGCAGTGAAGCTCGAGGTGTTAACCTGGAGATTTTTTATTACATTTTTTTGTATCACGCATTTGTCAACAAATGCAGTTTTGGACCTTAAACCATATCAAATACATGCTCAAATGGCTTCATGGCAACCTGTTTGAGCATTTATTTAACAATAGTGTGTTGATATGTCTTACTAGTGTCTGCAAAGACCGTACGAGAACAGACGTGAAGCTGGATATCCAGGATAAATGCTCAAACTAAATTGCACTAGTAACCCCTCAGTAAGTCTTGCATCTTTACCAGCAGCTGGCTTCCGCTCGCTGGGACTATTTTGTGTAAGAGACTGTGTTAGCGAGCGGCACAGTGATCCTGACATTTCCCTTCATCTCCTTCAACCTGTACTATCTGGATTCTCCATCTTTGTGGGCGCCGAACAGCGTCAGCTCGCCGGGGCCCATCAGTCTGGAACCGCGGGGTGGTGTGGACGCCCGGCTGGTAATGGACGGAATGAGAGGCGGCGGCGCCCCCATTGATAGAGCCCCCACCAATCCCGCAGGCGTTTTCGCCAGGATGCCGTTGGGCACGTGGTGTGTGTTAAGTGGGCCCAGACGCGCGTACAGAGACGCGTGATGCTGGGAGGCAGCGGCGGCCCCTGGAGGCAGGTGGTGGGACAGAAGGCCAGGGTGCAGCTGCTCCAGGTGAGCAGCTGTAGCAGCATGGGAGGGGCTGGAGAGGTGGGAGCTGGGCGGGAGGTGGGGGTGCATGCCAAAGAAACGCGCCCGCTCAAAGTCTTCCCGTAGGATTTGCGCACGCTGCTCCTCATCCATCAGGCCCCCTCCCGGCGGTCCCAGCTGGTGAGGCCGGTCAAAGTGGTGGGCCATAAGGGCGAGCTCCTGGCGGACCGCCTGGGTGGAAGCAGTAGATGTGGAAGGGTGGTGAGGCGCGGTTGCTGCGGCTGCAACGGCTGCCGCCCTCTCCGCCTCGAGGAGGCGCTGGTGCTGGAGGAGCCGCGCCAGGTGGGGATCAGCACGTAGGGTGAGGTGCGGG